CGAGAGGGTTGCATGTGCATCCGCAGGTTGACCGGCCGACCATAACGTACAACACAACATATGTACAAACAACCGGAGGCTTGCTGACAGGCAGACGTTGACAACGTTCATCGTGTTGCAGTGAAGGTGGAGAAGGTGCTGCTGGAGGACAAGTCAACGAAGGCAGATCAAGCAGTGAAGGTGGTGGTGACGACGACTCTGCTGTCAACAATTTCGTAATTGTGAAGTCGCTAGGGCACACGTCCAAGACGCGCGCGCGTAAGTATGAAAATAAAAGAAAATGTGCATAAGGCATGCATAGTACGGATGTACATATGTATGTACATGGACACTGCTCTGTACATACGCAGACACTTTCCGTCTAGAGATAAATTAATTAATCGCGCTGATGCACATTATTTTCTGTCATATAGGTATTCGTGTATGCGCGCTGAGTTACCATCAGAATTTAGCTTCTGGCATTCGCTCCTATGTAGCTGTAGACGTATGAATACATCATTGCTATGGTAGATAATATGCAAGTTGGAGTGTTTTATTGTATGCCTTAAATTGCAAATATTTCTAGGCACTAAACTGGTTCAAGTGCAATTTTGTCGGTATGTTTACACATACATATGCACATAGCAATTTGGAAAAATAAACAAAAGTATATACAGATGTACATATGTATGTGCCTATACGTATGTAAATCCATACATACTTAAGTATAACCACATATCGCACACGATCTTCAAAAGTAACACAACTCAAAATTACACGTTCGTCAGAAAATGCGAAAAACTATTTCCTAGCACAGCTAATCATATGGGCCAGAGAGATTTCACCTTAGGCTTTTTCACCAAAATTCGAAAAATTTGCTGCAGCTTTTGCTTAAAGGTAAATAAAAGTTCTGTCTACATTTTTAGTGCATCATTTCAAAAATGCCAAATTTTGAGTTGTGTCACTTTTGAAGATCGTGTGCGATATGTAAGCATACTCATCGGTCACATTTTAGTTTGTTTGTTTTTAAAAAGTTTCAATTAAAATCCAGTTCATTATTTATCAAAATCCATTATTATAAACTGAACACTGTAAACAAGTAATGTTAAGCAAACAAGTAAATTTTAACCGACTTCAATTCTCATATACAAATTTATTAGTAACGTTAATTTCTTCATGATCCAATGATCGGATATAAAGCAAATAACTATAGTACCAGCTTTCTGTTAAAAATTATAATTATAGAAATCGGTTAACAATTAAATTACATTAAATTAACAGAAAGTAATCGTTTTAAAGAATTTTCTATTATATTTTAAGAACTAAGCCTTAAAACTTTAGTTGAAAAGCCGCACCCATCAATATGGAATGAGCCATACTTAAACATAAGTGGTAAACAATATCATTAGGAATTTGGGTGCTAATGATATGACTGATACTGTATGTATGTATCTAGGCGAATACACCCCGTGTCATAATTAAAAACTCGCCAAATATTGACAAGTTTTAACAAATTAACTTTTTACTATTTAATTTTAGTTAATTTTTTTTTTATTAAAAATATAGTTTATTCTTTAAAAATGTTTATTCTTTAACAAGTTTAAAACTATGTGTAATTTAAAAGAAAATTCAACACACTTTCGTAAAAATCTCGAGTTTTTTAATTAGATATCTTAGAAAGATTTTCTGTATGACGTTTTGTAATCCGTTGATTTGTGGCAATTTTGTTGAAGATGTTGCTCATTTTCTCCATAGTACATAAATACATATGTATAAACAAATCATCGAACACACTACGTATGAAAGAAAATAACTGACATTTTCAAAAATCAACGGTAATTCTCTGCTACTTTAAACTTCCACTTTAGTATACTAAAATTGAATAGTCTGTAAAACTGCATACTCAAAGTCTTTCGAAGAAATCTAATTAAAAACCTTGAAATTTTTACGACAGTTCATTGCATTTTTTTTTAATATTGCACGCAGTTTGAAACTTGGATTTATTCGATCTTGTTATTATAAATGTTACTTGTTTTTATAAAAAAAAAAAAAATAAATTAAATAACAAAAAGATGAATTGGTCAAACTTGTTAATATGCGGTGCGTTTATAATTGCGACACGGAGTGTACATTGATTTGGTAGGTAAATAGTATTTACAAACACATAT